CCTTTTTGAATCGCCTCGTGTTTGCGTAAAGATGCAACGTCTGTAACAGATGCTGTGGATGTCATGCGTAAAAACATCTTTATGCAGCAGTTTTATCATTTTTACTTTAAGATTAATTCTAAGAAACAGAATTACTTGGTCAAAATTTTGACCAATATGGAATTTTGACTACATCATCAAACATACCTCTTGGATTTTTTGTTGTACTTTTGGATTATAATTAAAATACTTCATTTTTAATTTATTAAAAATAAGCGTATGTATGTGTGTACATGTTCATGCATGTGTATGTAGAGTCAGAGGTTGACATGGATTTTTTTTTTCTGAATCCATCTCTGTAGTGATATTTTGTTTGTGATTTAACAAATAAAGCTTGCCTGAAGATCAGAGTGCAGAGCTAAGCTACTGGTTAGCATAGAGGCCAGGAAGTGGTGACACCTTTAATTCCAGCACTTGGGATGCAGAGGCAGACAGATCTCTGAATTCAAGGCCAGCCTGGGCTACACATGATTGATTCTGTCTACTGTCTAAGAGAGAAATAGAGATCACACAAAGGTGCCCCCAGCCCTTGGGATCACACACCTTTAATTCCAGCACTAGGTAGGGGGAAACAGGAAGGGATATGGCTGGGCAGAGAGAGGAATATAAGGCAGGAGGAGACAGGAGCTCAGATGCAGTCTGAGGATTCACAGAGATGGATGCAGTCTGAGGTTTTGAAGAGACAGCAACAGTAGAGATAGAGATAGGATTCATAGAGACAGGGTCACCCCCTTTGGTCCAGGTGTTGGTAGAGTTAAGAACTCTCTAGTTTTTGACTGCTCTGCTTCTCCAATCTTTCAGCATTAACCCCTGTATCTGACTCTGGGTTTTATATTATTAAGAACAATTAGAATTCATGTTACCCATCTCTATCATAGTTGTGAGACATGGTCTCACCCTGAATCTCGAGCTCCACGGATCCTCCTGTCTTTGCCTCCCCAGGGCTGGGATCACAGCTTGTGTGGACACGCCTGGCTGTGACATGGTGTTGGGGACCCAGCCAGGGTTATTTTTCTTGCCTGGAAAGCACTTTACCAATGAGCCATAATAAGTAATGGTTTTTCTTTTCTCTTTCTTCTTTCTCTTTCTTTCTTTCTTTCTTTCTTTCTTTCTTTCTTTCTTTCGGTTGTTGTTTTTGAGACAGGGTTTCTTTGTGTAACAGTCTATCCTGGAACTCAATTTGTAGACCAGGCTGGCCCTGAACTCACGTTACCTCTACCTCCTAAATACTGGGTTAAAGCCATGTGCCACCACTGCCTGGCCTATTTTTTTTAAAGCAGATTTTGGGCTGGGTGTATAGGTAAGTATAGTACATAAGGCTCTGTGTTCAGTCTCCACTGTAGCAAATCAAGTGATAAAGCGTGGCCCTTAAGATTTTTTATTTTTATTTTGTTTTTTAGCTATTTTAGGCTCACAGCACAATGGAACAGAAAGCATTGAACGCTTCCATTAAGCCCCTGCCTTTATATCTAGCACCCCTGTCTCCTCAGCTTCCTCCAAGCCACACCCCCCTCAGCCACGCCCACTATTAGCATCCGCATCAGAGTGGTTTGGGATCTTTTAAAGTCACTACTTAGTTGCCAAGAAAGGTCTTGAATTTCTGATCTTCCGTCCTCCCGTTCCAGTGCTGGGATTACAGAGGGTTGCTGCCATGTCAGGTTTTGGAGGGGAACCTGCCCTGCCACTGCCACGCAGTGCTTGGATGATTGCAAGGCGTCCTGAGCACTATCTGCAGGCACTCTAGCAGCTGAACTCCAACCCCAGCCCACGCTGGATGGGTTCTGTTTCTCTGGTTACCAGAAATGTTGACTGTGTTTACTTATTTTAAGCACCTCTTTTGTGAATTCGTTTCCATTTTCTTTATTAAGGGTTAGAAAACCAAAGGGAAGCCAGAGTTTCTTAGCGTCTAATTGCGGTGCTACCCTAGGAGAGCCCTGTTAATCTTTTGCATCCACTTTCAGGCTCATTCCTTAGCTTTGTCCTTCTGGGGACAGGACCTGGGACTCTGCATGTGGAAGGGACCTTCTGGGTGACAAGTATGTACCCCGAAGGCATTTGAGCATCATGGCCTTGTGTCTTATTATTCTCAACAAAAGTTTGAAAAAGCCCAAACAGAAAGCATGAGTATTTTTCTCTCTTCACTGCTTCTAATAGGCGTCACTTCCCATTGAGCCCATTGAGAGAGAGAGAGAGAGAGAGAGAGAGAGAGAGAGAGAGAGCTCCACCAGTGCCTTTCATCAGTGGGAGAGTGCCAGAGACGAATTAGTCAGATCTGAAGTCTCCTTGCAGGAAAGTGCTCAGATGAGTAACATTTTGTCATTCATAGGTGATTGTAGCTGGTTCACATTTTTTTTTTCATAGAGCAGGTTCATTCATTAAAAATTAAGAACCTTAGGAAATAATGGATCTGGCAATTGCAAATTCCATTTTCAGTGCCAATGCAAATTACACTCCATTGTTACCAAACTGAACAAAGCCAGGGAAATAAGCCCCTATATTGGCACAGGAGGCAAGGGACACTGGTCACTCCATGCCTGCCTCCTCGCTAGCCACACTCTGTGCCACCTTCTTGAGCACCTTGAGAACCTGGACGGCACAGACAAGAGGGCCTGGCAGTGGTAGCGAATCCGGCAAAGTCACAGAGTGAGGCCTTACGTGTTGAAGAGGAGCCAGGCTCACTGCCTCCCTCTACGTGACTGAGCCAGTCTCTTACCCTATGAGGGAAGTGAGGAGACACTGTAGAGGCAGCTCCAGAGCAGAGACCAGCTTCACCTCTCAGCCTTTGGCTAGGACCTGGGCACTGGTCCCTTACTCTCTGTACCTCCAGCCCACTGATGCTTCCCCTATGTTCAGGAACTCCCACCAAGTACTCCAATGAGAAAGAAAGGCTGCGTCTCATCCAAAGGCCTAGTATCCAGAGGAGGAAAGTCATGTCTTCCAACAGAGGAAACCTGTGGGCCAGGAATAAAAGCAATTCACATATTCAGGCCCCGAGAGTGCAGTGTAAAACCTCTGCCTTGAACTTAGGAGTTTAGTGAGTTCCAGGAAAAAGTAGAAGGAACCTCAGAGAGGTGACAGTTAAATTCAAAATAGAACTGTCAAGAAGGGCAAATTTGGATGCAGCCAAGTGCCAAAACAGGAATGGCAGGGAAGAGAGGAAACATTAGTTACCTAGGCGAATTATGCATGAGTTGAAAAAAAGTTTAAAAAGTTCACCAAGCTCCGGGTTAAAGTGGGTTTTTAAAAGCAGAGTGGGGTTGTAGATACTGAAAAGATGGCTCTGGGGTTCCACTTCATTCAGTTCCCAGCACCTGCCTCAGTCTGATCATGGCCACCTATAACTCCAGTTCCAAAGCCCTGGAGACCCGAGTCTGGAGTTCATGGTGTTGCGCAATGCTTGATTGTGTAAAGATGTTCTGCATTTGTCTAAGTGTGTAAGGCATGTTGCTGTTCACCTTGCCTTACCTATGACACCTGGTTGATCTAATAAAAAGCTAATAGTGAGGGAGAAGATATAGGCAGGATTTCTAGACAGGAAGGGAAAGGAGGAGGAGGACGAATTTAGACTCAGAGAAGAAAGAAAAAGAGATGACAGGGAGACACCAGGGTCCAGACACACAGACTCGGAGTAAGCAGGGAAGTAGGACACACAGAATGAAGGAAAGGTAAAAAAAAAAAAAAATCCTTGAGGCAAAACATAGATGAATAAAAACAGGTTAAATAGTTAACAGAGCTGGTGGGACAAGCCTAAGCTAAGGCCAAGCATTCATGATTAATAATAAGTCTCCATGTCTTTATTTGGGAGCTGGTTGGTGGCCCCAGTAAAATTCCAGCTACACATGGGTACCCACACACGTGAGGCATAGGCTCCCACACACATACATAAATCAAAATCCAACAACTCAGTCATGTGCCACAAAGCAAAACTTAGTATATTAAAAATAAGAAATGTCCTACAGACTATCATAAGCCAGTACAGTGAGACTTAAGTCATAAAGACAGAGCCAGTGAGACAGATGAGCAGGAGAAGGCACTTGCCACAGTCCTAAAGACCTGAATTTGATCCCCAGCACCCATGTGGTAGACAGAGAATCGGCTCCTAAAAGTTGTATCCTGACCACACATCTCACTCACCACCAAATAAAATGTAATTTAAAATTGTGAATAAACAAAAACAACTCCCCCCCCCAAAAAAAATCTTAAAATAAACACGATTTTCATTGTATTTTCAGTTTTAGATTTTAGGACAGAATCTGGTGACGTCTCCTTGGCTAGCCTCAAATTCTGAATCCTCCTGCCTTAGCCTCCTGAGGGTTTGGATTACACACCTGTGCCACCAGGCCAGCCCTCTAGTGCTAAGTAATCCTTAGAAACCCAGACATCCTAAAATCAAAGAGAAATTCAAAGTGGAAATTAAAACAATGTAAAACAAAACAACAGGGGCTGTGAATGAATGGTGACATATGCCTGTAGTTCCTGTACTGTGGAGGCTGGGGCTGGAGGAGGGCAAATCGGAGGCCAGTGAGATGCTGTCTCAAAAGACAAATAAGTCTACACTCAGCTTAAGGCATAGCAGATATTGTACTGAAAATAAAATTTCTTCTATACTAAGGAAAAATAATAAACAAATCAAAGAGCATAGTTTTATTGGCGAATTAGGGTACTCTTAGTTGGGAGTTATACCTCTTTCTATGCCTCCTGGTTTTCTACGGTCTGCTGTGTACACTGCTAAAAAGAGAACCTTCTGCCAGCAGATCACTGTGAGTTCAAGGTCAGCCTGCATCTTCATAGCAAGTTCCAGACTAGCCAGGGCTAGCAGTGAGAACCTTAGTTTTAAACAAACAAAAAAACTCCCTTATAAAACAATGGGTGGCACACTCACGTACTTTCCCGAATTATGAAATGTTCCGAGGACAGCTGTGAATTTGCCAGTGACCCCGAGTGACCTTTATGTTGCCCAGGTTCTCCAGGAGCAAATCCGTGCCAGGGACAACATCAGCTATGGAACTAATTCTGCCTTAAAGACGCTGGAGATGCGCCAGCTCTCTGGCTTGGGAGATCTTCGAGGAAGAGTTGCGAGGTAGGTGTACCAGTTACTGCCCTCAAAGTGCCCCATGGAAGCGTCTTGAGAATGTAAGGGCTGTTTCGGCTCACAGTTCGCGGCCATCAGCTGGGGACCATGTCGGCGGGAGCATGAGGTGACTGTTCTCGCAGCATCCACAGTCAAGAAAGAAGCAGAGGGAGGTGACTGGTGTGCTAGGCTTCATTGTTTTCCTTTTTATTCAGCCTGGGACCCCAGCCCCACACTCCTGGTAGGTCTTCCCTCTTCAGTTGGTCCTCTCTGGAAACGCCCTTACAACCAGGCCCAGAGGTGTGTCTCCTAGGTGATTCACAGCAGGTGTTCAAATGTTGGAGACTTTTCTCTTTAAGAACAGTTTTTAGTTGGCTCTGAGATGGTCAGGGAGTAAAGAGCTTGCTGTAGAAGTTTGTTGGCCCGAGTTCCATACCAGCATCCTCATGAAGGTGGAAGGGTGGAAGGAGGGCACCAGCTCCAGAGTTGTCCTCTTCTCTACACACACGCACACATCACAACACAACACACACACACACACACACACACACTTCCTGAAGCTGGCCAGGTCTTCCTGGGAGGAAATGAACAGAGAGCGCCCTCTGCTGGCTGATGTCATTTGGTCATTGCCATTTGTCATGTATGGTCATTGAATCATGCCTTCTAAAATGTTCATCTTTGGTATAATTATTTTTGTTTTATTTACTGAAAGTATTGGATTTCATAGGCTGGAAAATTTAAGAAGTGTGTTTTTCTGTCAGCGTGGAAAGTGATTTTCTCTTTACTTGGGTGTGTTCCATGGACCCAGAGCCATAGGATTCCCTGGGATTTTTAAAAATGTATTTTATTGACAGTTGCACTCACGTATTTGCATGCGTGCATCTACGAAGTGTGTGTACCGTGGCACACGTGTGGAGATTAGAGGATCATTGCAGAAGCCGATGCTCTCCTTCCACCACACGAGTCCCGGGGAGCCCAAGTCTTAGGCTTGGCAGCACGTGCTTTTGCCCGTTGAACCATTTTCCTTGGCTCTTCCCTGGGACCTTGCTAGCAATGTCCGCGGTCGCCACAGCCTACTGCTGCTGAATTGGAGCCTGATTCTAATGAGATCCCTGGCTTCCGGGTGCACTGATGTTTAAGAATTGCTGCGAGAGGCCTGTCGCCCGGATTATGTTTAGCTGGCTGGGACGAAGTAGTCAGACTATGTGTGGGCCTCTTCTGCCCTCTGCTGCTGCCGAGAGCCAAGTACAAGTATGTAGCTAATACTTGGAGCAAAGAAGCATTTCCAGCCAGCTTGGGGTGACAATGAGCGCAGGTGACCCTGTGCACAGGACTAGGCTAAGGACAGGGACACACAGAGTCCAGGGCATCTTCAGAGCAGAGAGAGCCGTGTTAGGGTGTATTTGTGCAGAAACCTAGCGCCTTGTGTGTTGGGTATATGTGCTGGCAGCTGTTGGCTAAAGGTCAGGTAACGGTTGGAGGAGGGTTGTGAGGACAGGACGACGGAGACAGTGACCACTCTGCGGTGCTCTTTGTTACCGTTCTTTCTGTTTTATCTGTAATGTGCCCCTGTGTGCCTGAGTGTATTTATGCACCATGTGCATGCAGGGGCCTGTGGACATGAGAAGATATCAGCTCCTCTGGAACTCAAGGGACAGGAGGTTGTAAGCCACAGTGTGAGTGCCGGGGAGGGAACCCAGCTTCTCTACAAGAGCAGCGAGCACTCTTCACCGCCCAGCCACCTCTCCAGCCCCTTCTTTTTCTTTACTGGCAGTGGAAATGGTGTCTTGTTCTGTGGCTCTGACAGGCTTTGCATCCTGTCCTGCCTCCGTCTCCTGAGTGCTGGGATTGCAGGTGTGTAGCACCATGCCTGGCCTGTCTGTCATTTGCTGTTCTCAGCAGGATGAACCCCAGTCTAGTTTCCATAGTCTGACTCTTGGTGGTGGGCACCCCTGATCGCCTCACCTCTCCCTACCCTTGTCTTGCACCTTCAGCCACGCCCCATCCTTTGTAAGCCCGTTCTCTTACCTCTGGGCCTTGGCACGTGCTGTTCTCACGCTGAATACCTTTCCTCTTCCTCTTCTCCTCGTCCACCTGACACCCCCACTCCGCAGAGCGCCCCCTCCACTTAAGCTCCATCCCGTCACTCTGTTGTCTTCCTTACTGTCTTAGAGAGGGGCTCTATGTCATTCGCTTCTGGAGTCAAGTGCCTGGAGCCTGTTGAAAACAGTAGGTGCTCAATAAATGCATGTTAGGTGAGTGATTTGAGCTAAAAAAAAAAATTGCCGGGGTAGGACTGAAAAGATTTTGAGTTCTTGTTTGTGGAGTCCTTGTTTGGCTTTTAAAAGACTCCAAACTCAGAGAACAGCAGGACCTTAGAAGGGCTTGAGAGCCACAAGGTAGAGCAGGTGTGTGCGTGTGTGTGCGTGCGCGCTTGTGTGCGTGTGTGCGTGTGTGCGTGTGTGCGTGTGTGCGTGTGTGCGTGTGTGCGTGTGCGTGTGTGCGTGTGTGCGTGTGTGTGTGTGCGTGTGTGTGTGTGCGTGCGTGTGTGTGTGCGTGCGTGTGTGTGTGTGTGTGTGTTGGTTAGATTGTTTATACAGTGTAGCCTGACAGTCAGATAATGGTAGTCTCCATGCAGGAAGGGCTGAGCACCTCTTAACCTGAGAGCCTGGGTGCCTCAGCAGTTTCACCCCAGGATTCCAGGAGAGCCACTGGTCTTCTGTCCATGTTGGAAACCCGAAGAAGCCTGAGTGTGATGTCAGTGGGAGAGGAAGCAGCAGCAGCAGCAGCAGCAGCAGCAAGAGGGCAGATGACCTTGCTAGTAAGATGCAAAGGAAAGAAGGCAAAAAGCACTCCTTTAATCGGGGCTGCCTCAGGAAGGTGCCCCACACTTGGTGCAGGGGTCTTCTCACTTCTGATGGCCTGATCAGATCAACCCCTCACAGGGGTGTTCAGTGGCTGGATCCAGTCAAGATGATAACCAAGTTAACCACCGCACCACTGTGGTGCAGGTGGAGACTGAGGACGTGTGTCACAAAAGGCGGCTCTCTGTGCCTCACCCAACCGTGGAAACTGACGTCATCTTTCTGACGTTGTACCTAGACATTGAATTCTAGGGAAATACCTTCAGGAATCTTCCATTCTGCTTCAGCGTTTCATCAGCTTCTCCACCCAGCTTGCTCCTCCCCGTTAACAAACACCTCGGTTCCGAGCCCACCCGAAGTGTTTGTTAGAAGCACCAGATATTTTAGTTTTGTTTGGTGGCTATATCTGTCTTTCTCTCGGAAAGCTAATGAGACCTTGCTGAGATGAAGTCAAGTGAGACTAAAAGCTCTTTGGCAAGATTTCGGCTTTCGTGCGTTGATTACATAACTGTGTTGCAGAAGTCTAGCTTTTAAAGTGGCATTGCTAAATGACTAGGCTGGCCTGTCACTTCCTATTTGAATGTGTAGTTTTTATGGATCTATTAGTAATCAAGTTAACAGCAAACAGGTCCTTGCTTCTCGCTCGTTGATCTAGGTTAGGCAGGTTCTCCTTGAAGGGGAGGGACACTCCTCCTGCTCAGCACGGTGCACCTCACGTAGGATGTGGCCAGAGACTTTTCCATTATTTCTTGAAGAAAATCTCACTTTTAGCTTCCCGATTCCTACTGGAATGTTTGGTCCTGTGTTTGGCACGTTGTTTGTATTTCCCCAAAACTCGGTGGGCACTTCCTCTTTCTTCTCTGAGAGGTTCTGGGGTGTGTCTAGAGGCAGAGTGATAAAGGAAACACCCCTGTGCCAAGGCATAAGCTCCCCAAACCTGCAAATTGGGAATCAGAGTGAGTGGGAAATACAGGGACACACAGCATACTCCACCCCTTCCTCTCGTTCTCACTCCCTCTTTTCTTCCTCCCTCCCTTCCTCTGTCTCTCTATTGTTCTTTATTCTTGTTATATAATTTTATATTTTAGTCTTTATTTTATTAAATATATACTTTTCTGATAATTTTATTTATAGAGTTTTATGATATAATTTACACATAAGCAACAATGGGGCAGAGCAGCTGGCGAGATGGTTTAGACCATTTGCTGCTCTTTCAAAGGACCCCAGTTCATATCCCAGGATCCATGTCTATAACTCCAGCTCCAGGGGACCTGATACCTTCTTCCAAACTCTGCAGGAACTATACTCACATGGGCGCGCGCACACACACACACACACACACACACACACACACACACACACAGAGAGTTAAAAATAAAGCTTTAAAGCATGCAGTTCCGTGGGCTTTGGAGTATTCCCTGTGCAGCCATCACAATTAATCTCGGAACATCTGAACAATTCAATAAGAAGTCCCACGGTGTTTGCAGTCTCTCCCCATCCACCCCGTCAACCTCTATCCATGGCAACCAGAAAATTCTTTCTGTCTCTAGGATTTGCCTCTCTGGATGTTCCCTCTAAGTGGACTCATCCCTAACACACGGTTCTTTAAGAGCAGCTCCTTACACTTAGCACAGTGTTTTCAGGGGTCAGCTGTGAAGGTGTGTGGGTACATCATTACTTTCTGTGGCTAAGAGACACCACGTTTTGTTTCTTTATAAACTGAGTGGGTGTGCTGTTTCTACTTTTTGTCTATTATAAATAATGTAGCTGATAATATCGTTTATGGAGGCCTTGTATGTTTACATTTTTAAAGATTTATTTATTTTTATTTTTTGTATGTATATGAGTATTTTGCTCGCATACATGTATATGTATCATGTGTGTACAGTGCCTATGGAGACCAGAAAAGGGTGTCAGGTCCCCTGGAGCTGGGGTATGCAGCCCTATGTGGATGCTGGGAACCGAACTCCAGTTCTCTGGAAGTGTTCCTGACCACTGATCCATCTCTCCGGCCCCGAGGCAGCCTTTCACACATAGTGCGAGGTAGGGCTCCAACTTCATTCTTTTGCATGCTTAGTTATCATTCAACATCGTTAGTCAGAAGTCCATTCTATCCCTCACCAGGCTGTCTTGGCACCAGACTTAGAAATCACTGGGGGTAGGGACACGTGAGTTCCTTCCTCCTCCCTTCCCTTCCCCTGCCCACTTCCCTCTGTCATTGTGTGTGCACCAGAGGGGAAGCTCAGGCTTTAACTCCGGAGCCTAGCCTTTTGCTTTTGTTTTTGCTTTTAAACTTTGTGTATGTGTGTGTGTGTGTACGAGATAGATAGATAGATAGACAGACAGACAGACAGACAGATAGATAGAGATCTCCTTCCACTCTGTGGGTTCTGCAGATTGAAGTCAGATTCTCAGACTTAAGCATTTTCCCCATGGATCCCTCCTGCTGGCCCCAAACTCTCTGTATGTGTGTGTGCGCGCACAAGTGTATTTTTAGGTACATAGACACGCACCCACCATGGTGCCAATGTGGAAGGAAGTCAGGGAACAACTCTTGGGGGTTGGTTCTCTTCTGCCACTTGGTGGGACCCTATGATTGAATTCAGGTTCTTGTGTCTGGACACACATCCCTCTTTCCTATGAGTCATCTCACTAGCCACTTTCAAACAAAACACCAGGATCCCTGCTGGCCTTGGCTTACCAAGTAGGTTAGATTGGCAGAGCCCAAGAGGTCCACCCGTCTCTGCCTTCCCCCTTCTGTGCTTACAAGGGCACACTGTCTCATCCGGTATCTGTTGAGGCCCGAGTATTGGATCTCCTGGAGCTGGAGTTGTAGACTGTGGTGAGCTTCCTGACATGGATGTCGGGGACTGAGCCCGGGACTTCTGCAGGAGCTGCTGAGGATCAGACTGTTCCTCGTGCTTTACTGTCTGAGCCTTCTCCACAGCCCAGTAGCACAGTTTCTGAGGAGGCCTTGCATCTCCCAGTGCGTGTTATAGGATGAACTAGCAAGGCAGCTACTTCATGTGCTTTTCAACTTTAATGGGTGTGCGTTGTTTGCCTGGATAGGTGCGACGCCAGCATAGCCAGACTCTCGGCAGAGCATAAGACGACCTACGAAGGCCTCCAGCACTTGAACAAGGAGCAGCAAGCAGCCAAGCTGATCCTGGAAACAAAAATCAAAGATGCAGAAGGACAGGTATGGCTGGGACAGAAGAAGAGTGAAGAAACCGGGAGTTTGTTCTCCGCTAAGAACAGGGTGCTGCTTGGTTGTAGCCAGAGCAGCCAGTCCCAGTCCCCAGTGTGGGTTTATGCAAATCATCGGCTCTTTCTGTCTCCCTTCCCTCTGTCTTGCTGGCATGGCCCTTCATGAATCTGGCAGCCAGATCGTGGAGAGATTTTGGTACAGTGCCAATTTAAAGTTTTTTCCCCCTGACCCCAGACATTCTAAACGATATTCCCCAGTCTGCTTCTTGCACAGGTGAGTGACCCAGCGTAACGTTGCAAGCTGTTTATCCCAGAGTCTGATGCGGGAAATACATTCTTTACTGACTTTCTTTACATGTAATGGGACTCATTGTGTGTGCAGACTCATCACGTGGTCTCAGTTAGGCCAAAGCTGGAGAGTGAGCTGGCAGGAGAATCTTAGGGTGTTTCACCTTGAAATTTATAATTTCCTTCACAAGGCAAAACTCTCAGCATTTCACCAGTATGTGGTGTGTGTGTGTGTGTGTGTGTGTGTGTGTGTGTACATGAGTGCAGGTGTCCCCAGAGGTCAGAGAAAAACAGAGGCATCTGGGTAATTTACTAGATAAAAAAATACTTACCCCTTCACCTCTCTTCAGCAAGGAACCAAAGCTACTTATGTTAAAAAACAGAAAACAAAGAAAGCCAAGGGTATTATAAGACTTTGAAAGGCAGGCAGGCCTTTTGTTGTGGTGGTGGTTGTTTTGTTTTGTTTTTTCTTTTAAGATGAACGGGGCTTGCTTTACAGCACAGGCCTACAACCCCAGATACTATGGGGGCTGAGGTAGAAGGATCCCACAATCAAGTCATGGATGAATTAAAGAATGAGCTAGACCAACCTGAGCAATCTAGGTATCTCAAAATAAAAAGTAGAGACAGATGGTTCAGTGGGCCGAGGTCCTCGCAGCCAAGCCTAATGACTGGAACCCAAGCTGTGGAACCCACGTAATGGAAGGACAGAGCTGACTCCTGCACGTTGTCCTCTGACCGCCACACATGAGCTATGGCGTGTACACATCTACATGCATACACATAAAAGAAATGAACATTAAAGAAGTTTAAAGACAAGGCTAAGACTGAGTGTTTTCCCAGTGTTTACAAAGCCTGAGGTTCAGTTCCTAGTACCAGGGTGGGGAAGGTGGGGGTGAGTGGGGGATGGATAGGATGGAGGTGGGTGGGCGAGAACAAGATTGTTACACAAGAAGAAATGCTTTCTGGTGTCCGCAGTGGGTACCACACAGAGATCCACCAAAAGAGGCATTGTTGTTTGTTGTTGTTGTTATCGATCCAGATCTTACAAATATCATGACTCTTTAAATAAGGAGTGTTGAACAACATTTAACATTTGGAAAATGTGATCATTTCATACAGGGCTAGTTTAACTTTAAATTGTGCTGTAAACAAAACCCAAATAAACACCAAGACCACAGTAGGTAATGGAGAAAGGAGTAGAGGAATCTAGCTCACACAGTCTGTTCTCCGGGCTTCAGTGGACAAGGAGGTCCACCTGGAACCTTGATGCATTTGTAAGCCATAAAAATCACACCCTCCATGACTGGCAGCCATGGTGCTGGTGGAATTCCAAGGTAACGATGGCGGCACATGACTGCTGGTAGAGGTGCCAGCCTTGGGCAGGAGTTGGGCTTGCCCATTGGAGAACTGTGGAGTTTAGCACTCATTGCATGATGAATATTTTGGTAGTGCCCCCTGTCTTGAGTTTCGCTGGGTGTGTATGTGACTAGGTAGACGGTGTCATAGTTAAAGTGCCCATGAGCACAAGCCAAAGCACCTGTGTTTGGATTTGCAGCACCCACCTAAAAGCTAGACACTGTGGGGACTAGAGAGATGGCACAGCAGTTAAGTGCCCTTGTTCTTCCAGAGAACCTGAGCTCAGTTCCCAGGACCCACATAAGACCTCACAATTGTAACTCCAGTCCTAGGGAATCTGACACACTCTTCTGACTTCCTCAGGCACAAGATATACATTTGGAGTACATACATTCAGGCAAACACTCACACACATAAAATAATCTTTTAAAAACGTTTAAAAAACCTGGCGGCCACTGTGGTACACCCAGAACAGCCATTCTAGCCAATAGGTGAGCTCCATGTTCAGTGAGAGACCCTGCACCAAAAGATAAAGTGGAGAATGATTGAGAAAGACAACTCCTATTGACCCCTGGCCTCCAGGTGTACATGTGTGCACATGCACACACATGTACACATACATACACACACACACACACGTGGAAAGAGGAGGTGAAATGGACTTAGAAAAGTGACTTTTAATGCCATTGGCCAGCATAGAGCATGTGGCATGTCTTCTGAAATGGTCCCTGAAGGCATGATGTGAGATCTTTATAATCCAGTCTTCTTTTCCAGATTTCTCAGCTTTTGAGCAGAGTGGACTTGTCCATCTCAGAGCAGAGTACCAAACTGAAGATGTCCCACAGAGACAGCAACCACCAGCTTCAGCTCCTAGATACTAAGTAAGTCATCAGCTTGTAAAAGGGTTTTTCTCAAGTTCTTTCTGAGTTTGTGAAATTCACCTTTTCTCCCTCTTGCTTTGATTTTAAAATATAATGTTTAAATTTTGCCTGTCTTAAAGATTTATTTTTATTTATGTCTGTGTGAATATGTGCACATGAATGCAGTGCCTACAGAGGCCACAAGAAGGCACTGCGTCCCCTGGAGCTGGAGGTGCAGGGGGTTGTGAGCAGCTATATATGGGTGCTGGGAACTGAACTCCCATTCTCAGGAAAAACAGCAGGCACTCTTAACTGCTGAGCCATCTCTCTTGCCCACCTCTTGGTTTTTATTTATCACACAGAGTGAAAACAATATTGAAAGCTAAAAGAAAAGGTTTCCATATGGCATATTGCCACTTTTCCTTCATAATCACTGCTTCTAGCAGTTGGATGATGGTCCATCTCTTCATTCAATGTGTATTTGGCTTATTTGTTATGTTTTGGTGTGTATATGTGCTATATACATGCGTGTATATTGCGGGGGGTGAGACAAATGGGTGCCTGAGTGTGTGGAGGTAAGGGTCAGCATCGGGCATCTTCCTCTATCTTGTTCCACCTTCCTTTTTGGAGGCAGAGTCTCTCACTGATTCTGCCAGATTAACCGGCCAGCGAGACTCTTATTCCATCTCCCCATTGCTGGCACTAGAGAAGCAAGCCATCATGTCTAACCTTTTACATGGATTCTAGGCATCCAAACTCTGGCCCTCTTGTTGGTGCAGTGAGCACTTTACCCATGAGTCATCTTCCCTCCCCTAGTATGTGTTCGCTGAGCACTTCCCTAGAGGCCACGGGTCTAGTAATGAAGAAGAAGACAAAATAAAACAGACCTTGTTTTTAATCCTGTAGGGTCTACAGTTTAGGGAGCTGATGGCCAGGTGTCAGATAAGGGCTTGACTAGGGTGCTCTGTGTTATTATTAATGGTGCTTCAGGGGGTAGGTATGTGGTTATGTTAGGTTAAATAATGATTCCCCCAAATTCTCCATGTGAAGATGCTTGTTAGCTTTTAGGGAAAGGAACTTGATCGTGCGACCAAATATCTTCATCTGGGATTGTAGTTTAGGAGTAAAGTGCTTGCCTAGCATGAGTGAGGCCATAGGTTCAATCCCCAGTATTAGAAAAACATGCCTTAAAAAAAATCTGTGTGTGTCGTCACACACATGTGCATACCATGGTATAGGTGTTGAGGTCAGACTATAACATGGGGCTTTAGTTCTCACCTTCCACTTTGTTTGAGAGAGGGTCTGTGGTTGCTGACCACTGTGTACTCCAGGCTAGATGGCCTGAGAGTTTCTGGGGTTTCCTGTCTGTTTCCCATCATGCCATAGGAGTGTTGGAATTATAGACCACCTCTGGCTTTACATGAGTTCTGGGGCCCAGAACTCGGGTCCTCATGCTTGCACAGCAAAGACTTTACCTGCTGAGCCCTATTCCTAGCCCCCATAAAGAAGGTTTTTAAATGAGTAGGTCATCCAAGCATGCCTGACGTCATCACTAGAGTCCTGGGAGGAAGGCACTGGTAAAGAATAGCAAATCCTGGCAAGGCTGACTTCTAGGGAAGTGTGACTGGTTGACACTTGCCTCTTCTAAGTCCTGGTGGTGGCCAGTGTCTCAGTCTGTACAGATAGCTGTATTAATTCAGCTACAGGATGGTTCAGTGTTCTGTGGTCAGTGTTCCAGAACAGACAGGGCAGCTCTGACGACTCAGTGTGGAGCCTCTCCAGTTCCAGTCCTTGCTCTTCCCCAGCTGCTACAGAGGGAAAATCCAGACAACAGCTCTGTTGTGAAGACGTGACCAGAGCCATGTTCTTCTCTCACTTTGTGCACTGCCAGTCACCTGACTTACTGGTGCACTGTGCTGTAACTGTCACTTCTTTCATTGCTGTGACCTGAAAAAAGCAACTTAAGGAATGAAGATGACAGTTTGGCTCACAGATTGTGGGGATACCATCTACCATGGTGATGAACATGCGGTAACAGGGGCATGAGGTGGCTAGTCTCATTGAATCCATAGTCAGAGGCCAAAAAGATGAATGATGGTGCTCAGTATACTCCCCCCCCCTTTTATTCAATCTGGGACCCCAGTCCATAGGATGGTGTTTTACACATTCAGAGTGGGTCTTTCATCTTCACTAAATTCCCCTGGAATCACCCTCACACACAAGGTGTGTCTCCTACGAGATTCCAAATCCAGTCAAGATAATACAGTAGATTAACCATCACATACACCTAGCTGCAAGGGAGGCTAGTGCATGTGATCTCTGGCTCGGCATCCATGTGCTCCAGTGACATGTGAAGACTCCTTATATAAGAAAACAAAAAATAGCCATTTCAGAACAATTAGTTACTTTAATGGGTGTTCAATTATTTAAATAACATATCTACACCTATCACACACCTACATATATCTTTATATATTCTATGCTTTCATTACATGTTAATATAAATAAGAAGAAAATGATTAAGGGAAGTAGCATGCATTGGCAGTTCTTTTAAGCATTGTGGAAGGGAGGCCTCTTGAGGAATGGAATGTTGTAAGGGTACTTTCCATTTTTCTCTTTGATTTTTTTTTTTGAAACAAAAGTCTCAAGTAACCCCAAGCTGGCCTTGAATTCACTATGACCTTTAACTCCTGATCCTCTTGGTATTACCACCCAAGTTCTGGGATTGCAGTCATGTTCACTATGTAGTTTGTTTCCTCCTGGTTTAAATTAGGCTATGTCCATATGGGGAAAGAGCAATAGAAAACATGAGAGAGAAAGCAAGCCAGCCTCTAGTCCTGGGAGATGCAAGGAGGGGGAGTGCTGGTAGGGGGGAGGATTCTGGAAAAATGAGATGAAGGATAGTGTGTTCTCTGAGCAATGAGAACTGTGGACCCTTAGAACTGTAAGGGTTATTAGCCCCTGGCATCTCTACATTACTGTGTCACCTCAGTGCCTGCGCTGCCAGCTCTTATAGGTAGGAGCACCATCAGGTGGGTAGGAGCATCATCAGATGGGTAGGAGCACCATCAGATTGGTAGGAGCATCATCAGATGAGTAGGAGCATCATCATGGGTAGGAGTACCATCAGATGGGTAGGAGCACCATCATGGGTAGGAGCATCATCAGATGGGTAGGAGCATCATCAGATGGGTAGGAGCATCATCAGATGGGTAGGAGCACCATTGGATGGATAGGAGCACCATCGGATGGGTAGGAGCACCATCATGGGCAGGAGCACCATCAGATGGGTAGGAGCACCATCATGGGCAGGAACACCATCAGATGAGTTTCTGTTGTATGTTTCCATCCTCCACTCACTCCATGTGGCACATGGTCCTAAAAGAAGGTAATGCCATTCTCATACCCAAAACTGTTTACATCCAACTTCTTTACACACCTTTTCTTCCCTTTCTTTTATTTATGTTTTAGATTTAAAGGTACAGTCGAGGAGCTCAGCAACCAGATTTTATCTGCCCGGAGTTGGCTGCAACAAGAACAAGAACGGATAGAGAAAGAACTTTTACAGAAAATCGAACATCTTTCCTTGATTGTTAAGGAAAACAGTGTAGGTATTAATATTTTTGAATAATAGATACTGAGAGGGGGCCTGCAGTGTCTCACTAGCACCTAAGGACTCAGAACACGTTCATTTGGCACCATCAGAAGCTGTTCAGGCATTTCTGCCTTTGAGTAATTTCCACATTCTCCCCCCACCCAGACCCCGCTTCTTTCCCTTCTTCCTCTCCCATTCCTGTTCTGTTTCTCTTCCTTCCTTCGTTCTGGGGATCAAACTTGGATTCTCATACCTGCTATCTTAGTTCCTTTTCCTGTTGCTATGAGAAAATACTCTGCAAAGCATCTTAAGGGAGAAGAAATTTATTCTGGTCCATAGGTCAAGGGTCCACTTCGGGACGGCGAGGGAGTCAAGGTGGCAGGGACGCGACACAGCTGGTCATGTTGCCTCCACCACAGGAAGCAGAGAGGGGTGACTAAATGTCACTGCTCAGCTCTCTTCCCACTTACACAGTTCGGCGTCCCAGCCAGGGGATGGTGCCACCCACAAGGGTTGGTTCTTCCCAACTCAAGCAAATCAAAATAACCCCCCACAGGCACACACAGAGGCCTGACTACCAGTTAATTCTAGATTCTGTTAAATTGACAAATTAGTACTGGCCATCATATCTGCTGATCTTGAACTTTACCACCCAGCCAAAGCCCCCAGCCAAGCACCCGCCATTCCCTCTTCTTCATAGTCTTCATAAAGACGGGGAGTGCTTTGATTGATGTTGGTTAGCAAAGGGCAAATTGAACAACTTCAGTTTATGGCTTTTGAGTCAAGACTTTAATGTGCCCAATTGTCTAGCACCCATTTCTAAATAAAGCCATCAGTCACCTACTTGAACTTGTTTTTCTGGGTTTTGTTTGTTGTTTATGTTGTGACCTACTTTTTGCTTTCACCAGTGTTGAGTGACTCGCTGTCCCTCCAGGTCAAGGCACAGTAACGCCAGTGTGCCTTTCCTCTCCCAGGGCAACGGATCAGAATTCACCATTTTCTTTCCATCTACTTCTGCCTCCACCCCCCTCTCTCAAACAGCTAAGGTTTGCAGAACTGCCAAAATATATATATATATATATCTTCAAAAAGTCGTGCATTTAAAACCAGCAGGTTTGGGAACTGGTGCTAGGCAGGCAAATTGTGCTGGGTTCTCTTTTCTCTCCCAGCTTCCTCCCATGGGGTTTTGACTGAGCAGAAGTGGCTGGTGCGGTTTGGTTTGCCGGTCTGACTGCTTGTTCTGGGTGCAGAGCCATTCACTGAGCTGTAGGTTTTCCATCAGAGCCATCACAGGAGTGTCGTCCTGTCACCCCTGACGAGAGCTTGGTGTCCCTAAAGCCTCTGGATGCAGAGTTTCACAAAACATAGTATAGGGGACTGCAAAGACAAGGAAGTATTCAGTTTTCCAAATATTTTCCCTGACGCTTCCCCTGCTTTTCTCAGGTCTACTCATTGTTGTGCCTTGATGCATCCTGATGCATTTGTGGAGTTCTGAGTCTGTGGTTTACGGATTGATGTTTGCATTGGCTTAGGCTAACAGTGAACCCTATGATAGCGGTGAAGTCATTAAGATGGAAGCCTACTTCTCGCTCGTGTAAAACAAATCCCGGTGTGTCTTTTCCAGGACAAACATGAGGTGTGGGCTTGTCAGTCTTCGGTGATCCAGAATTCTTTTAGGTTTGCTTTCTGCCAGGCTCAGAGAGTAGCGCTTGTCCCCACGGTGCCGGGTGGCTGCAAGAGTTCCAGCCATTGACTGAATGGAAAAGGGAGGAATTGAAGATCTCCAGCAAGTGTACTCTAACTTTGTCTGGAGGCAGTTACATGCGCTTGTTCTTATACCTCATTGGTTAGATCACATGACCACACCAAACTCAGGACACAGAAGAAAATGTAGATTTTTACTCTGAGTGGCCTTTGAGACTGGATACAGGATGGACAATGAGACACCATTGTGGTTCTGGTCCCTGCAGATGGTTAAGGGCTATGACCCATGTGAGACAAGACATATGCTCTTCTTTTGCAATGACCAAGTGTAATTCTTGTCGTGACCTTAGGGAGCCAGTGAAAGAGACATGGAGAAAAAGCTCAGCCAGATGTCAGCCAGGCTTGACAAAATCGAAGAGAGCCAGAAGAAGAACGTGGAAGGACAGAGAACGAAGCCGGAAGAGGAGAAGGTGCATGGACGGATCAGCAAACTGGAGTTACAGATGAATGAGGACATGAAGGAAATGAAAGCAGAGGTTAATGCTGGTAGGCCAAAACCCCACACAGCTCGCGTGGCCTCTTTAGCTAAAAAGCTGTTCACTGAGATTTCCCCTGAAACAGACTGAGCTTGATAGAAAAAAAAAAACCCAGTGAAACGTCCTTACTTTCTATTTTAAGTATCTGTGCAGTATTGAATGAAGATGCTAGCTAACTTACTTACTTATTATAGTACTGAGAATTGAACTTAGCACCTCACAGTCGCTAGGCAAGCCCTCTGCCAGGGAGCTATTCTCTCAGACCCAAAGTCCTAGTTCAGTTGCAGGTCTATGAAGCCTCTCCACGAATGCTTAACCTGCTTATGTTGGGCATTGTCTTTAGTGTCCCCCACTGATTTCTTTCCGTTCATGGCCAAGATCAATGCACCCTTGAGGTGCTATTGAGGGCTACTTCTGCACTGCTGCTGCCGTATGAACATGGAGGTGGTTCTCTCCTACTTTTTAAAGTCTTTTTTCCTAATCAAAATTTCTTTTAAAAGACCCGTTTTCTTCTCTCTCTCTCTCTCTCTCTCTCTCTCTCTCTCTCTCTCTGTTTCTCTCTCTCTCTCTTTGTGTGTGTGTACCCACAGAGGCCAGAGGGGATGTGCTAGATCTCTAGAAGCAGGAACAACAGGCACTTGTGAGCCACCTGATATAGGTGTGGGGATCTGAACTCCATTCCTCTGACAGAGCAGTACAGTGTGCTCGCTCACTGTCCTCGTGAGAGTTACTATTGCTGTGATGAAACACCATGACCCAAAGCAGCGTGGGGAGGAAAGGGTTTATTTGATTTATGCTTCCACATCACTGTTCATCACTGAACAGCAACCCAAGCAGGGCAGGAACCTGGAGTTAAGAATTGATGCAGAGGCCATGGAGAAGTGCTGCTTACTGTCTTGCTCTTCATGGCTTCCTCAACCTGCCCTCTTCCAGAACCCAGGACCACCAGCCCAGGGCTGGCACCGCCTGGAATGGGCTGGGCCCTCCCTCATCAATCACTAATTAAGGAAATGCCTACAGCCCAGTGGCATTGAGGGATTTTCTCAGTTGAGGGTCCCCCCTCTCTGATGACTCTATCTTGTGTCAAGTTGACATAAAACTAGCCAGCACAACCACTGATTCATCTCTTCAGCCCTCAAATGTTCTATAAATAAAAAAGTTTATTTGTATATTTAAAGTTTATGTTTTAATATATGTAACAAAATGGTTACTGTGTTCATGTAAATCCACCCATCATCTCACATGGAGGGGATATATGTGTGTTTGTGTGTGCTATATATATATATGTGTGTGTGTAAATGTATGTATATATATGTGTGTGTATGCATATTGTATATATATGTGTGTATGTATATGTGTATGGTGTGTATGTGTGTGTGTGGACATTAGTGTGTGTGTGGACATTAGTGTGTGTGTATGTATACCTTGACTCAACTCTTTCAGCAAAAACCCCAGGCAATATATTGAATTTTCTTCACAATATCTATTAGATCTCTAGACTTGTTCATTTTACCTATTCTGCTGTTTTTACCCTAAGACCTGAGTCTTCTTACTCCCCTGTCTGCCACACCATGCCTCTGGTATCTGCCATTTTATTCTGTTTTTATATATTTAATTTCTTTTCCTTGTGGATGATCATATGAAACTGTGCAACATCTTTCTTTCTGTGTGTGTCTTCCTTCATTTAGCACAGTGTTCTCTAGTCTCAGCCATGGTGTGGCAAACAGCAGGATCTGCTCCTTTGTAAGACTGAGTAATTTTGATGGCGCATACACACACCTCACTGTCTTTGTCTGTTCGCATCTCTTGACAGACACTTTAGGTTGCCTCTGTACCTCAGTTATGGGGAGTAATATTGCAATAAATATCAGAGGGCCAGGGTGGGAGGGATGGCTCAGCAGTTACACAGTGAGACCCCCACCTCAAAAATAAACAAACAAATAAAAATGGTGGGCTGGGTGTGGTGGCATACGCCTATAATCCTAGCACAGAGACAGAAAGAGGCAGGAGGATCTCTGTGAGTTCGAGGCCAGCCTGGTGTATAAAGAGAGTTCCAGGACAGCCAGGGAAGTCTTGAAAGCACCAAAAAAGGAGCCAGAGAGGTGGAACATGAGTATGAGGAACTCTTTATTAGGTGGTAGTTTTTCTTATCCATGTGTGTCTAGTAGTGGCGTTGCTGGTCATAGGATAGCTCTGCTTTTGATGTCTTTTAGGGGTCTCTCTACTGTTTTCCACTCAAGCTATGACTTTTTTTTAAATGTATGTATGTATATATGTATGTATGTATGTAGCCTTGACTGGCCTCGAACTCACTTTGTAGACCAGGCTGGCCGAGAATTCTGCCCCCCAGGTGCTGGGATTAAAGGCATAAGCCTGCACTGGGCCTTGGCTACACTGTGTTTAATTCCCACCACTGTCTATGGGATTCTGCTCTCCACATTCTCAGCACTGGTTAGTCTCCTGCTTCTCATAGCCTCCCTGCAAGTGTTAGCTGACACTTCAGTGACCTGTAGCTGCTTTCTGATGCTCAACATCTTTTCTTGTGTTTCCTTCCTTCCTTCCTTCCTTCCTTCCTTCCTTCCTTCCTTCCATTTTCTTTCTTTTGATGAGGTCTTTGGTCCAGGTTGGCCTCAAACTCTCTAGGTCGCTGAGGATAACCTTGAACTTACGATCCTTCTGCTCCCAGCTTTTGAGTGCATGTATCACAAGTATACACTGCCAAGCCCATTTTATGCGGTGCTTTATCAGGGTGGAGCCCTGGACTCTGTGCACTCTAGGTGAGCACTCTCCCCACTGAACCACATCTCCAGCTCTCTAGGACCACACATGGTTATTAGCTCTTGTGCTCATTTACTTAGTATCATGTGTCTGGGTCAATTCCTCTGTGCTGCTGTTTTGTTTCTACGATGGAGTCTAGAATGCAGGAAGCAGAGGCAGGTGGAGCTCTGTGAGTTCAAGCCCAGCCTGGTCTACAGAGCAAGTTCCAGGACAGTCGAAGCTGTTACATAGAGAAACCCTGTTTCACAAAAGGCAGGGGGGATGGAGTCTAGCTATGAAGAACAAGCTGGCCTCAAATTCAAGCTCATAGTCTTGCCTTAGTTTTCCAAGTACTGAAATGCAGGTATATGCCATACAATGCCTGACTGAACCCAGCATTTTTCTCAACAAAGTCTGTTTCCTATCTGGGGTCCACATTTAGGGTGACAGGCCCCAAGTAACCTCTTAGAACACAGCCTTTAGATGTCAGATCCTGCAGTGAGGACTGGAGCCTCAGAAATCAGAACCCTTCACTCATAACCCCACGAGATCCTGGAAACCCTGGAGCCTAGGCTCAGGCCCTGCGCTGACCTTTGGGGCCACTGGGCTGGAAGGCTTCACTGTAGAGTTCTGTCTGGTCCCATGGAAGCTGGAGGCCTACGTGCCCGGGGCTTTCTTGACCCACAGAAACCCCTGGATCTAGTAGTTTTAGACTACAGAGCAGTGTTTTGCAGAAAGTTCTTCAGCTGGGGTTCGACTACTTCCTTATGATGTGACCTGGGACAGAGGTGCTGCAGGACAGATGGATGCCCTGCCCTGTCCGTCTATCTGATCACATGTGATTTCTCTCAGCTTTGATCACGTGGTTAAAGCTACAGCCGCCCTATTTCTTGACTGTAATAGCCCCCTTTGTCATTAAAAAGCAGTTTCCATGGGGCTCTCCATCCAGGGTTGACCCCTGGAGTTGCAGCGTTTGTAGGAACCCACTGTCCCTGTCGCTGTAGACTCTGGCAGGACCCTGCCTGTAAACTGTTGACTCCCATGACATTTGCCATTTGCCTCTTCCTCAAGGGTTTACAGCCATCTACGAAAGCATAGGATCCCTGAGGCAAGTGCTGGAGGCCAAGATGAAGCTGGACAGGGACCAGCTACAGAAGCAGATCCAGCAGATGCAGAAGCCAGAAACTTCCATGTGAAGAGGGCTGGGACGAGAACCTGGCAGGAGAAGAGATAGCCTGTGGGACTAAGAACCAGACACCTTTGCAGCTGGACCATGGCTGCGTTCTGGATCCCATCCAGGGTGTGCATGTGCCAAGAAACATGTTCTCATGGGTCTAAACGTTTACCTTATTGAAAACACCTTTATTCAAAAGTCTTCAGTACAATTTTTACAACTGTATTTCCCTATCTAAGTGCAGTTGAGCCCTATGCCCTCAGATTTTGAAAGGCTTTTATGAATGAAAAGAATTTATTTTCAATGCCTGATGCTCTAGCCAAGACTACTATTTTGGGGGGAAAAAACCTGCCATGGTGTTTTTTTTAATTAAGAAATGAATAATGTATTGCTTCTCACCCTACATTAAGAGAATGGCCTGGTAGATTAGAATTCAACTTGAAGTCCACATCTGGATTGTTTTACTGTTGTCTATGCATTTAAAAAAAATGTTGGGTTATTTTCTTGTAAATCACCTGTCTTTTGTAGAGAGAAGAGATTTAACACTGGAGGGGGGGAAAAACCTTGCCATTTATATAATGAAAATAGTTTTTTAAGAACTGATAACTGCCATATAAATTGCAAATTAAGTGGAAACTTACAACATGTATCTAGATCCCTCAAGGCACAATATTTATATCCACCTAGTACCAGCTTTTAATATTTAAAGCTATTTTGGGACCCATGCACAGCCGGTATAGCCAATAGCCATATATTTAATAATGGGACGGTGACTCAGAGCAGTATGCTTATCACACAGTTAACTGTTCATCCATCGCAATGGACGTGAGGATTGTTCGGACTTTACGATTCACCTAAATGTTCCCCAAACAGACACTAAGTGCTAGGGTTTATAGACGTTTTTTGTAACTGTCTATTTGTGCCTTGGTTTTTATCACGTCACTGTACTGTCCCCTGAAAAAACAAAACATTACCAACAAAACAGAAAGTGTGGTAAACACATCAGATTATGATGTGAAACTGGGATCCTATGTATGTCCTTTTTAAGCGTCCTAACGATGTTTTCACTGTCATGACGGGACACATTCGGCATCATTCACTGGATGGTTGCACACACTTTTGTATGGGCAGAGCAAACTGAGGCTACATTTATCGTACCGTGAAGAGACGTGTGTCCCGGCACCTTGGTCGATGTTTTCTTTTCGATCACCGTGTGTGAGTTGTTAAAGACTGGAGCCTGTGCTGTTTGCTCGCCTGTGAGTACGTCATAGCAGACAGAAGACAGCATGGTGAAGTGTGAGGGTACCCCAGGAGAGAGAGCAGGAGCACTTTGAGGTTCCCGGAATGCCACCTTGTCTTCTCCTCTCCTCTCTCATTTGCAAGGACTCAGGAAAATAAAAATCGTTTTCTATTTCTAGAATAAATCACAATGAGATTCTAACTGGCTCTTACTGTTGACCCATGTAAGGGACGCTGCTAAAGTACCTAATATTTCACTCTTGGTAGCTTGACAAATTCTGTTTTAATTTGGACTCATGAGAGGTTGTATGAGGAGTATGTATCCATCGTGCATTTCTTCATTTCCCCGCGCATCTTTGCATCTCTAGAAAGGAAGATTTTTCCGCCTGGGAGAAGTCGCTGGTGTTCAGAAAGCCCGTTTTCCCCTTTGTGTGAGGCTAGCCATGTTCCATGGAGTGATCAAGCACAAGGATCAGGACAGGGCCACACCCCCTCAGTGTCTCTGTCCTCTGGGGGCTCTGAGGGAGAAGGATGAGCACAGATGTCGCCTGGGAAGAGGGGCACAGGGGACACCAGCTAACTCCGGCCCAGCAGGTGGTGTATGCAGGTGGAATCACCTAGGTGCTCACTTAGGTCTGCCTAAGTGTGTGCTGCAGACCTGAGACGGGGATTCTGCACCCTGGCCGCGTGGGGTCCCTCAGGGTGTTTGAAGAGTCACAGATGCTGAGCAACCTCCAGACTTAGTCAGAGCATCTGGGAGGCAGTCACCAGCATCAGTGCCCTCCCCCGCCCCCCGCTAAGCCCCAGTGTTTTGGTGTGTAGCTGGGAGGCCAGCCATCCAGTGAAGACAATAGAGTTCTCTTCTAGCCAAAGTTTAAAGGAGAATCAGCTATCCTGTCTTTTCCTTTACCAGAGATTTGCAATAAAAAGAATAAAATTTCCAAATATACGTGGCATGGGACTTTTAAATGGAAAGTTTTTGAGTGTGGGGTGAAAACTTTGGCAGGCCACCTGCCTTAGTAAAGATACCACTTGGCTTTCTTTCTTTTTTTTAATTTTGAAAAAAAAATATTTAACTCCATATTTCCAAATGGGAATCTTTAAACAGATGGTGGAGGCCTGGCCTACAAGTCAGAATTAAAACCCATCATTCCTCTGGTTATTGAGGTGAGGGTAGCTTACTGGGACCCATGAATTTGAACCACTTGGCTCTCTTGAGCAATCTGACACTGACATCCCGGTAGGCCTTCCAAGGCCACTGCTGATGGCATCACCCACGGGGAACCAGGGTCTCAGGTCCCTGCTGCCTCTGGAATCATGCCAGTGAGCGGTTCCTGGCTGTGTGCCATGGACCCGTGCTGAGGTTTTTACAGAATCCTTCTTTAACCCCATGCGTTCACGTGTGCGTGTGTGTGTGTGCGCATGAGCATTGGCTCGAGGATGTCAGAAGAGGGCACGGGGTCATCTGGAGCTGGAGTTCCAGATGGTTGTGAGCCACCTGCCATGGGTGCTGGGAACTGAACTCATGTCCTTTGGAAGAGCAACAAGTGATCTCAGCTGTACCTTCTCCTCAGCTCCTGTGCTCAGACTCGTGTGTGCTCATTCCTTTTGTTTGACAGTGTCTAGTTCAGTACCATTTGTCCCCCCCCCCATTTAATGGAGAAAATCAAGTCACATAAAAAGGAAGCAGCGTGCCTCAAATCCTACAGCTCGTTAGTAGGAGACCTGATTCTGGTAGGCACCTGGATTATATATCCTGGCATTCCCCATCTGCCAAGCCCTCACCGCAGCCTGACTCTGCCCTGCTATCTCATTACCTTTGTATTTTAAAGCCAGCGAGCTGGAGGGGTTGGTGGGGGAGGTGAGAAGAGCTAGGATGCTAGCATGGACTTTGAAAAGTATAACAGGTACTTAAGATACAGAAGAAACCTGGGAGCTAGCATGAGCTCTGATATGCTACTAAGCACATTGGGTAGTGAGTGACCACAGGTCCCTATGCCAGAGATAAGGAGAGGACTTCTTTTGGTGGAGAGGAACAAGCGTCACAAGTTCCCGAGGAATTCTGGCTTTTATCTGACTCCCAGAACTCCTCCTACAGTTCAGGTGAGCCCATTTCTGGATATTTGGAATTTGGAATTAGAGTTTCCTTTGAACCTGACAGGTTTGGAAACTCAAACTCAGGTTCAGGGGGTTTTGCTGTAAAGCGTTTACCAGTCAAGGCATCTCCCCAGTCCTAAATTCACTAACTCCTGTATAGCAATAATTAACCTATCAAAAAGGAAATCAGGCCAGGTGGTGGTGACACAAGTCTTTAATTTCAGCACTTGGGAGGGAGAGGCAGGAGGATCTCTGAGTTCAAGGCCAGCCTGGTCTACAAAGCAAGTTTCAGGATAGCCAGGGATACACAGAGAAAGCTTGTCTTGAAAAGCCATCCGCAAACCTGAGAACAAATCTAACCAGTATGTTAAAGACCTGTACAGTAAAATTATAGAACACCGAGAAAAGGAAGTAAGACTTCACGTTTGGCAGAATGAAGGTTGTGAAAGAAGTCGCATTCTGTTGACCCAGCGCATTCCCATCAGAATTCCCGAGTCGTTCTTCACAGAGACAAAACAATAGTTATAAAATCCTCACGGAAGCAGAAATGACCCTGAACTGCAAAGGCAACCTTGAATAGAAGAGCAACCACCATGATGAACACCATGGCCGTAAACAACGCAGGGAAGCCAGGGTTTATTTCGGCTGACAGCCTTCAGCTCATTCATGGCCCATTGCTGTGGGAAACCAAGCAGGAATGGAAGCAGAGAACACCACGGGCTGCTCACTGGCTTGCTTCCTGTCGTTGGCTTACACCACCCAGGGCTGCTGCTGAGGGACAGCACCATCCACAGTGAGCTGGAGCCTCCCTCATCGATCATTAATCAAGAAAGTGCTCCACAGACTTGCCCGCAGAACTATCTGACGGAGGCAATTCTTCTGTTGAGGTTCTCTCTTCCCATATGACTCTGGCTTGTGTCAAGTTGTCAAAAGCTAACTGCCGGGAAGGAGGTGCTTGCTACTAAATCTGATGACATGGGACCCCCATACTGGAAAGGGTGAACCCGACTCCTATAAATTGCCTCTGACCTCCACATTTGTGCAACTGCAGGGGTGGCTGCCAACAAATGAAAACATGTTTTAAAAGGCCAGGTGTGTGCTTCTGAGCCCAGAACTCAGGAGGCAGAGGAGGGTGGATCTCTGAGTCTGAGACAAGTCTGGTCTCCATAGTAAATTCCAGGCCCAGGTGGAGTTACACGGTGAGACCTTGTCCAAAAATAATAAATAAACAGACACATAATTGACATATGATAGATATTGCATCAAGTTAAAAAAGCTACACCACAAAGGAATCAATTCCTGGAGTGAAAAGCCTGAAGAATAAGAAAAAAATTGTCTGTCAACTTTGTTTAAATTAATAATTGGAACTAAAAGTTTAAATGCCAAAAGAACAAATCCATCAAAACTTCAATAGAATTTTCAAAAGAAATCCAATAAATGGTTGATAAAGTCGTGAGAAGTGTTCAAAGCCACAATTAGCCACCAGAGAAATGCAAATCAAAAGTACATTGAGGCTCCATATCATCTCAGCGAGAATAGCTGTTCTTAAGAAGACAAAGGGAACAAGACAATGGCTCAGTGGTGAAGAGTACCTAACCATTCTTCCAGAGGACACAAGTTCAATTCCCAGCACCCTTATAAAAAACCTCACAACTGTCTACTACTCCAGTTCAGGGGATCCAACACCTCTGCACACACACGACTTAAAAAATAATAAAAACTAGAAGCCAAGCAATAGGCCAGGCATGGCACCCTAAGCAGGAGGACGGAAAGTTCAAGTCTAGCTTGTGCTACACAGTGAAATTGTCTCAAAGGTCAAAACAACACAAATGCAGGCGAGAACATGGGTAAAAGAGTGAAGAGATGGCTCACAGTAAAGAGCACTTCATATTTCTGCAGAAGACCCAGGTTTGGTTCCCAGCATCCACATGGTGATAACTCCAGTCCCAGAGGATCCAACACCCTCTTCTGGCCTCTGTAGGTACTGCACACAGGTGCCGCACAGACATAGATGCTGGCAAAATACACATAAAAATAAGTAAATGCTCATAAGTAATTTTTAAAAGAAACACATTCTGCTATAGGGATGTAAACTAGTTCCCCTACTCTGTA